AAAAGAAGTAGATAAATATAAAATCTGTAATATTCAATTACAGTACAAATTTGAAGTGTATAATTAAAGTGAGAATAGTTCAGTTATACAATTGAATAAGGAACTTAATTTGTACAGTACAATATTTTAAGTGTTATTGCAAAAGAGAATGTTGTTTTGTATTTTTCTTGATATTATAGTTGAGATCTGATATTCCCCCCCACCCCCACAAAATATTTTGAACAAAATCAGTTGTACAATTTCTATGCCCATCTATTTAATGCAACTGATGGACATATATGCTAACATAATTATATGTAAATATAAATGTAAGTTTATTTTGTTTAAATTGTTACATTATCTTTGTCATTTTTTAATTGTTAAAACAACTTTTCTGATATTCGTCTTTTCACAACATACAATAACATTATAAAAACAACACCCTAATTATTTCACTATTAATGAGCTCATTCAAGCTTGTGTACTAGACTAGACTTACCTTGCCAGAACTATGGTTGACATTTATCGAAAGATATGTTGTTTTTGTAATTAGAAGTTTATAATGTGGCTGGTCAGGTATACATATTACTTGGCCACTTGGACGTCACCATACATGCTTGATCCAGCAACGGTGCAACATGGAAGTTGATTTTTATGATGAGATTGCAACCTTCTTGCAGAGTGACCCAAACAAAAGACAATGGCCTAAAAGAGTACTGGTGAGTAATATTTATTTTTAAAGGATTAGTTATGTAATTTATCCTAACCTAACTGCTGATTTGTACTAAAAAACAAACCTTTTCTATGTTTTAATTGATGTTAAAAATCCAGTAGTTTTTACCTAATGTTGATAGGATAATGTCAAACTATTTTTGATTGTTACAAAATTGTCAATCAATTTAAATTGACATATTAAAAAAACTTTATACAGAGATATAAGCCTTTTTCACAGTACAATGCAATAAGCTTCAATATTTCATTGGTTTTGTAACACATCACATTTATTAATTTTCACACTTTGCAATATAATTGTAAGTAAAATCTTTTCAAATTAGAGAAGTACATATACTTTTAGGAATCTGCAATAAATTTTCAATTTATAATATTGAGCATAGATAGGTATACAGTATCAATTAGAAAGATATACTCAAAGGGTAGTTATGCATTTTATGGGGGTGGATAGGCCTTTTATGACTGCAATATAGGGTAAGAAATGTATTTTATGGCTACATTATTGGGTAGATGGTTATTTTTATGGTGGTAGATAGGTGTTTAATGATTACAGTATATATAGAGGGTAGATGGTTATTTTATGGGGATAGATGGGTATTAAATGGCTACAGAATATGGTAGAGATGTAATTTGTAGGGGGTAGAGAGATATTTTATGGGTTCAGTATGGGGCAGATGGTTATTTTATGAGGGTAGATGGGTATTTTATGGGGGTAGATGGTTATTTTATGGTGGTAGGTGGGTATTTTATGGGGGTAGATAGGTATTTTATGGCTACAGTAAAGGGTAGATGGTTATTTTATGGAGGTAGATGGGTATTTGATGACTACAGTTTAGGGTAGATGAGTATTTTATGGGTGTAGATAGGTATTATATATTAACTTTATTGTAATTGTCATGGTGTCATCATTGTCATGAACTTTGTGTCGTAGGGTCACATTTAATGTGTGGTACTAGTTACATGGAGTGTCTTTGTTTACAATGTATTGTGCGGGGTTTCCCCGGTGTCTATGTATAACCTGTAAAATGTGACGTAATTGTGTTTACCTGTATTGTACCCGCTTGTCCAGTTTGACCAGGGTGGGTCGATGGGCGTGTCGGTGAGTGAAAGTAATGCGCGAATGTGTGGGGTGTCGTATAAAAGGAGTTACTTAAGCGGTGGGCGTTGCATTCTAGCCAGAGCGTTTGACACGATCACCTTGACATGACGGGCCAATATTTCCTACTGCGTGGTTTGTTTGTTTGTTTGTTTGATTTTGTTTAACGTCCTATTAACAGCTAAGGTCATTTAAGGACGGCCTCCCCTGTGTGCAAGATGCATGCGTGTAGTGTATGCGTGTGTATTTTGGGAGGCTGCGATATGTTCGTGTTTGTCTCCTTGTGATAGCGCGGAACTGATGCCGACTTTATAGTGCTACCTCACTGAAACATACTGCCGAAGACACCCAGCAGGACGCCCCACCCGGTCACATTATACTGACAACGGGCGAACCAGTCGTCCCACTCCTAATTTGCTGAGCGTTAAGCAGGAGTAGAAACTACCATTGTTAAAGACTTTGGTATGTCTCGGCCAGGGGACAGAACCCAAAGCCTTCCTCACAGGGGCGAACGCTCAACAAATGGCCAAAAGTGAGGCATTGTCAAGGGAGACATTAGGAAGAAGAAAGTTATTCAGAAAGGAGAGAAGAGATAAGGTCCCAAATTTAGTCGCCTCTTACGATCATGCAATTGGGGGCAGCAGGTACAATTCTTACGCCCTACCTGCAGGGACTACTGCGTGGCAACATGACGGTATCAGGTAAATAATACTTGTAACAGTAGTTGGTCTTACAATTTAATATTTTATCGGTCGAAACGCGTCCAATTCATTATTATAAAGAATAACTAATGGTATCTTGTATGAATTGGTCTATTTGTAATGTTGGCAAATTGTATTTGCAGGGGTTCCTTTGTGTTTCTGAATCCTGTACTATATCTGTACAGTATACGTCGGCCAGGGGAAATGAATAAATAAATGTATACAGAGAAATGGAGTTTGTCAACTGTTTTTCCTGCGACATTTGTATAGTGGTGGTAGCATCATTAAGTACGCTCATTTGAAGGTTAGAAGGTATAATACACTGAAAATGGTTCACTTATCTTATTTGTTAACAGTTATAGGTTTTACATTTGAGTCAAAAGCATTTCTGTTTGTTTCCTCCAGCTTATTATGGGAGTCATCATGTTGCTCCTTCTGTTTCGACATGAAATCTGTTTTTTATTCCTTATTCTATCATCGTCATGATATATAACTCAGTTTCATACCATCATTATTACTATACATCATCATCATCATCATCGTCATAATAACAACTAGGTTTCTTATTCCTTATTCCATCATCATCATCATCATCATAACTCGCATAACTCAGTTTCTTATTCCTAATTCCATTATCATCATCATCATCATCATCATCATCATCATCATCATCATCATCACACAACACTTTTCATATTCATTGTCCTAAGTAAACATTAAAACCCCGATATTTGCCTTCTTCAATTAAATTATCTTTTTTATTTATTTCAGGAATGCAATAACAAGTCCAACTTTAGGAATAAAGCAAACACCTTTTGCTTGAGAGATGGGACTTTGTATTACAAGCATAAAAGTATAGACCAGTTAGAGTTGTCAAGCCTGAGAAGGTTCCAGTTATACTCAGAGCGTGTCACAGTGATATGTTATCAGGCCATCAATGCATAAACAGAACTTGGGAGAAGGTTAGGAGAAGATACTATTGGCCCTCCATGATGAAAGCTGTTGAAGACTACATCACCCACTGTGACCAATGCCAGCGCCAAAACTATCTAGCGAAAACACCATCATCACTTCATCCTATCCCGGTGAAGAATACAGCTTTTCATATGCTAGGGATGGACTTAGTTGGAATTCTTCGGATGACAAGCAATGGAAACAAGTATATCATAGAGCTGACTGACTACCTAACTAAATCGCCTTAAGTCAAGGCGATTCCAACTAAGGTTGCAGAACATATCTGTAACTTCATCATTGCAACGGTTTGCAGACACGGAACTCCAGCAACAATATTGACGGACAACGGCAGAGAGTTTTGCAACGCACTCAACGATAGGCTTTGCAAGTCCCTTGGTATCAGTCGTCGCTTGACAACACCTTACCATCTCAGACCAACGGACTGACAGAAAGGTATAACCAGACACTGTGCAATGCATTAGCCAACCAAATATGTAGGATGACTGGGATAGATACATTCACCAAATTGCATTTGTCAGCAAAAATCGACGAAGGCCACTCCTTTCTATTTAACATATGGTCGGGAAGCTGTTCTCCCTTTAGAATTAGACATTCCCACAACATTTGATGGAAAGGACATCACAGATGATGATAATTTCGAAGAAATTCTACATGACAGGGCGGTGTCATTTGCCACACTACTTACATGTCAACAAGATACTGCTAAAAAAATAGGCAAAGCTCAGCACAAACAGAAAAAAGTATTATGATGCCAAAAATTTCAAGCAGGATCTGGCAGTTGGAGAAAATATCCTGGTCAAGAACAGCAGACGAATTAATAGGAAAGGTGATAAAATAGTGAGCAAGTGGGTAGGACCTTACACGATAGTTGAATGTGTCGGAAAAGGAGTGTACAAATTAGAGGAGAGAATTTTTGTTTGTTTGTTTGATTTTGTTTAACGTCCTATTAACAGCTAAGGTCATTTAAGGACGGCCTCCCCTGTGTGCAAGATGCATGCGTGTAGTGTATGTATTTTTGGAGGCTGCGATATGTTCGTGTTTGTCTCCTTGTGATAGCGCGGAACTGATGCCGACTTTATAGTGCTACCTCACTGAGACATACTGCCGAAGACACCCAGCAGGACGCCCCACCCGGTCACATTATACTGACAACGGGCGAACCAGTTGTCCCACTCCTAATTTGCTGAGCGTTAAGCAGGAGTAGAAACTAACATTTTTAAAGACTTTGGTATGTAGAGGAGAGAAAGTCTAAAATCAACAGAAAGTCACTCAAGAAGTTTAACACACCAGCATCAACACCCTAAAAAGAAGCTTTCTGAAATCAGAAATAGCCACCCACCATTCAATCTTTTAAGAAAACGCTAAAAGACTCAAAGCTCAGAGAAACCATTTGCCAACAAGAACTAGACGAGCCGAAGAGAAATTTGCAACCGGCCATCTCAGCAATCAAGAAAGCTTGAACTACCACAACAGAGTCAGTGACTGACAAAGCCACATAGACCATCTCTCTTCAAACAATGAATACCATCTCTCATCACAAGACCAAGACCATCTCTCATCTGGCATCCAAAACTATCACTGACCAAGCCACAAAGACAATCTCTCATGAAGCTACCAAAACCATCACTGACCAAGCCATGCCACCAAGACCATCTCTCAGCAAGCTACGAAAACCATCACTGACTAAGTCACCAAGACTATCTCTCATCAAGCTACGAAAACCATCACTGACCAAGCTACCAAGACCATCTCTCATCAAGCTACGAAAACCATCACTGACCAAGCCACCAAGACCATCTCTCATCAAACGACGAAAACCATCACTGACCAAGCCACCAAGACAATCTCTCATCAAACGACGAAAACCATCACTGACCAAGCCACCAAGACCATCTCTCATCAAGCCACCAAGACATCAATCTACCATTGCAGAATTTTTCAAAGCCATGAATGAGACAAGACAAGAGAAAATTAATTGAAAAGTGTGCAGAAATGGATATTCCTAATGCAAGATGCCAAAAACAGCCTGGTGTATCTTTCAAGAGATTCGTCGACGCTGTCCTAGATACATGAATGCCTACAAAAACATGAAGCAGACCTGTCAGAGTGCTGCGACTTGTACACAACTTGGAACATCACTGCCAAAAATGATATATTCATCTAATGGAAAATGAGTACACATTGCAGCTGGCTGCTTCAGGATTGACATTTGCTTTCCATGAGAAGACTGACATCATAGCTCTTTTGAAAACTGTACGGCCTATCCCATTCAGCACAGCAGCAACACAACCAATGCCAATACCAAGAGAAAATGTCCATGTGGGGAATGTTAGCTTGTCACCAAACGATCTTCGAACTATACGTCCCATGGCAAGGCTAAATGATCAGGTAAAATGTCCTCCTGATACATATGTAAATGCAATATGTTTTTAAAAATAGTTTTCTATGATTGCAACTAGGACATGTCATCAAAAGTCTACGAAGGCCACTCCTTTCTATTTAACATATGGTCGGGAAACTGTTCTCCCTGTGAAATTAGACATTCCCACAACAGTTGATGGAAAGGACATCACAGATGATGATAATTTCCAAGAAATTCTACATGACAGCTGCTAACAAAATCTAGTCAGTTTTTATCTATTTTCTTAATTTGTATATAACTATTTATTGGTCACTTTTGCATTATGAATGGGTGTACAAATAATTGTCTCAGACAGACCGGAGATGATCAACGATACCATAAAAAAAATTTTTTGCATTCATTAAGTGATACAATTTGAATCATCTTTGGGTGGTACATGCACACTTGAGCTTGCTGAGCAAGGAGTGCAATGACAGAATTCCACACACATGCCACATCTTGTCCAGCGTTCTCGCCTTAAAGTGGGAGACTGAGAATTACCAATCATGGCTGTATTCCAAGGTAAGTGTTTATTCAATATACATGAACATTCATTCATAAAATTAATAAAATAACAGACATAAGGAGCTTAAAACATATATGGTGATGTTGAAGTTAATACAATTAGGAACATTGAATATACTGATGATATGTTTTCTTAGTCCATCATATCTATACCAAATTCATGCATATGGCTTTAAGAAACAATCACAGGGGGTTATTGTTGTCCACCACCTTGCATTCTTCATTCATAGGTTGTATAAAAGATTGATTTTTTTTTTTATCTTATCTGTTGGATGGATTCATGTAAAAAGTTAATTAACTTATGGTAACTTTTGATCGAAGCTTCATACTGCTGTGTATGACATGGTTATTCAAATGTGAGTTATAAATGGTGATTTTAATAGTCGACCAGCTGATGAAGGTAGGTTGAAAATCTTGAACATCTATCTAGGAATGTGCGACATCATCTTCTCTGAAGTATTTCTTCATCAGATGTCATCATGCTTTACTGTATAGTTGTGACAGTGTTTTTTAATTTTGTTTTGGTGCCTCTTGAGAACTTCTGTCATGTTCTCTTACCCATCTGCCATCTGCATCACTGGTTTCTACTTGTGGCATCCATGATCACTGGAGAGGTCACCATGCTTTATTCTGTTCCAAGTGATTCCAGAGCAAGAACATTGTTCCTTCATTGGATGTAAGTTAAGTTATTTGAGTATAAGGTTGTTTACATGGTGATTTCTTATTCACATACATTTAAGTTCACATTTTATAGCAATCTATTTTAGATGCCTCTGAATGTGTTACATTTAAAACACAAGAGGCCCAAAGGCCCTGCATCGCTTACCTGGTATTAATCTCATACTTGTAATCTTAAAAGTGGACTAAAATACAGCTACAGGCAGAATATCAGTGTGACCTTGAATGTCAAACAATGACATTAGATTGTATGGATCAAGGTCATTCATTTGAACAAACTTTGTAGCCCTTCATCTCAGCATGCTACTGGCCAAATATCACCCTGAGCGTTTTGGTTATTCAGAAGAAGTTGTTTAGTTTTTAAACATGTTTGACCCCTGTGACCTTGAATATGCGTCCAGGCCATTCATTTGAACAAACTTTGTAGCACTTCATCTCAGCATGCTACTGGCCAAATATCAACCCCCTGGGCATTTTGGTTATTGAGAAGAAGATGTTTAAAGTTTTTGACATATTTGACCCCTGTGACCTTGAATATGCGTCCAGGCCATTCATTTGAACAAACTTTGTAGCCCTTCATCACAGCATGCTACTGGCCAAATATCATCTCCCTGGGAATTTTGGTAATTCAGAAGAAGTTGTTTAAAAGTTTTTAACATATTTGACCCCTGTGACCTTGAATATGGGTGAAGGTCATTCATTTGAACAAACTTGGTAGCCCTTCACCCAAGCATGCTACTGGCCAAATATCAACTCCCTGGGCATTTTGGTTATTGAGAAGAAGATGTTTAAAGTTTTTGACATATTTGACCCCTGTGACCTTGAATATGCGTCCAGGCCATTCATTTGAACAAACTTTGTAGCCCTTCATCACAGCATGCTACTGGCCAAATATCATCCCCCTGGGCATTTTGGTTATTCAGAAGAAGTTGTTTAGTTTTTAAACATGTTTGACCCCTGTGACCTTGAATATGGGTGAAGGTCACTCATTTGAACAAACTTTGTAGCACTTCATCTCAGCATGCTACTGGCCAAATATCATCTCCCTGGGAATTTTGGTAATTCAGAAGAAGTTGTTTAAAAGTTTTTAACATATTTGACCCCTGTCACCTTGAATATGGGTGTAGGTCATTCATTTGAACAAACTTTGTAGCCCTTCATCCCAGCATGCTACTGGCCAAATATCATCACCCTGGGCATTTTGGTTACTCAGAAGAAGTTGTTTAAAAGTTTTTAACATATTTGACCCCTGTCACCTTGAATATGGGTGTAGGTCATTCATTTGAACAAACTTTGAAGCCCTTCATCCCAGCATGCTACTGGCGAAATATCATCACCCTGGGCATTTTGGTTAATCAGAAGAAGTTGTTTAAAGTTTTAAACATATTTGACCCCTGTGACCTTGAAAATAGGTGAAGGTCATTAATTTTAACAAACTTTGTAGCCCTTCATCCAAGTTTGCTGCCGGCCAAATATCGACACCCTAGGCCTTTCGGTTATTAAGGAGAAGTCGTTTAAAGTAAAATATTGACGCCGGACGCCGGACGGACGGACGGACGGACGCCGCGCCACGGCATAAGCTCACTTGGCACTTCGTGCCAGGTGAGCTTAATATACTCTTCTACCCTATACTGTAGTCATAAAATACCATTTACCCCCATATAATACTCATCTTCCTTATACTGTAGTCATACTCTCATAAAATACTCATCTAACCCCATAAAAATCATCTACCCTATACTGTGGCCAAAAAACACCCATCTACCGCCATACAATAACCATCTTCCCCATACTGTAGCTATAAAATACCTATCTACCCCCATAAAATACTCGTCTACGTTATACTGTAGTCATAAAATACTCATCTACCCCCATTAAATAACCATGTACCGTATATGATAAATTGCCTATTTACTCCCAACAATACCTATATCCTATAATGTACCTATCTTCTCTCTACTGTAGTCATAACATATTTGCACCACTTTAATTACTTGAGATTCCATGCACCACCTAAACTGACTTAAGAAAGAAATTATTCCTAAAATGTAAAAATACAAAAATATTAACAGGTAAAAGCAGTTGTTCTGCCATACATGCATGGATGTTATTATTAATTGAAAAATTCAATTTTTATATCTATAAACATAACAATTAATGTTCTGCTTTTCATTATATGTTTGGATTGCTGTGTAAAAATCAATTCATTAATTTTTTTTAGTTTTTTGATATGTAAATGACAGTCTTTTTTTTTTAAAACCTGATAAGCACTTTAATTATATAAATATATCCCTGTGTCAGTGATTTGTCAGTATAGCACCTATTGACAGCTGATCTTGACCACACCTGTATGTTGTCACCAGGCAACAGTAGCCCCCAGGGCCCAAGCTCCAAGTGACACCATGTGTATTATAATTACCTGGATAGACATATAGGAACCATGTATTACAGGTAACCTGATGTAATAATGCTATGAATTTTGTGTTTATGTAAAAAGTTTTGATAAATTTTAGGGGGGATGAATGTTGTTGGGTGTTTATTTTTTTTTTGGGGGGGGGGGGGTATTTTATGGGGGATGATTTTTTTTTTATGACACCGGCATCTTCGGAAATCCTGTGTTCTAAGTTTGTCTGTCAGCAGTCGCAGACGTTTTTATTATCTTTATAACATGCTTAACGGCCGATCATAATATTCAGTCTTACTCTTTAATACGTAATGATCTACGACGTGTAAACAGAGGGGAGGCCGGTGTGTAATTACCAAGAAAGAGAAAATTCGCGATAGGAAATTCGGATATATAATTAACCCGGTTTTATCACTAATTTACAAATATTCAAAATATAAAGGGTATAATGAAAATAGTATCAGTTGATAATATTTGTGCATGCAGTACACGGTGTTAAAACGTATTCAGAGTTAAACCATGAATCATTATATTACTTTCAAAGATTTCCTGGGTCGGTTTGTTTGTTTGTTTGTTTGATTTTGTTTAACGTCCTATTAACAGCTAAGGTCATTTAAGGACGGCCTCCCCTGTGTGCAAGATGCATGCGTGTAGTGTATGTGTGTGTATTTTGGGAGGCTGCGATATATTCGTGTTTGTCTTCTTGTAATAGCGCGGAACTGATGCCGACTTTATAGTGCTACCTCACTGAAACATACTGCCGAAGACACCCAGCAGGACGCCCCACCCGGTCACATTATACTGACAACGGGCGAACCAGTCGTCCCAATCCTTATTAGCAGAGCGCTAAGCAGGAGTAGAAACTGCCATTTTTAAGGACTTTGGTATGTCTCGGCCAGGGGACAGAACCCAACGCCTTCCTCACAGGGGCGAACGCTCAACAAATGGCCAAAAGTGAGGCACTGTCAAGGGAGACATTAGGAAAAAGAAAGTTATTTAGAAAGGAGAGAAAAGATAAGGTCCCAAATTTAGTCGCCTCTTACGATCATGCAATTGGGGGCAGCAAGTACAATTCTTACGCCCTACCTGCAGGGCAGTCCTGGGTCGGAAAATACCACAGTCCACCTTAAGCGAAAGAGGGACACTCCTTTATCATTAAACTATTTTATATGAGGTTGAATGTGCTATGACTAGTTGCTCTATAATTTTGTATATATCTTTTTAAAAAACTCCTTTAATCAATTAAGCCTACAGTTAGCTCATGTCTTACGTTTGACCATGTATTATCTAATTGTGGTGATTTATCGTTTATTCAAATTTAAAATATCATCACTGACAAATTGTTGTTAGAATCAGCATAAATATACCGTCCGATGTATAAGTTTCATAAATTTGTTTTATTTTACCGTGCACTTGTTAGAGAAAACATCAAGCACAACAAAGATACCATTAAGCTGTTGCTACGTAAATAATTATCTCATATAAATAAACGAATATATGGTGATCTTGCATGTTTAAGCCCTCGAGGACAATTACAAAAATAGTTTCTTATCAGATAAACTCTCAAACCCTTTTGGGAAGGTTAAAGAGCCTCAGAACATTTTTGTTGTGGTGATCTGAATGACATCATGGACTATAATCTACCAGGTACCTACACATTTCTCGTTGCTTTCCTGGTCTTCCTCCTTAGCCTACAATGTAAGTAGCGCAACTATTGCTTTAATTGTTTCTGAATTGTTTCTGTTTGTAAACCCCTAACATGAAGTACCAGCACAATGTATATTTTCTTTCATGTCTTTTGATGTTGTTGTCTTTTTATTATGATATACATCTGCCATTTTGTTTACACTTTAACTTCAGCCGCTTTCCGCGATCTTTACTGACATTGACCATCAGGGACAGCTCACTACAAAGTTATACGATAACTGGGACGAATTCCTATCATGAACTTTCCCTTTATTGATATCAACATCCCTTAATGTCCCTCTCTTTCGATGTTTACATGTGGCAGTTGACCTTAAACGAGTTTTAATTTCAGATTCTTAAATTAAAGGTCAGGGTAGATCGCTACCATAATCATTATTCACAGAGATAATTAGCATTAACAGGTATTGGTTTTGTACGTTTGTTTTCTTTTCCCAAGTGCAGGGTCACTGGTACTATCAATGCAAACTTTATGTATGCTTAGGATTTGGTGTGGTTTGATAAGGTTTAACCTTCTATTATCAGCTAATGTCCCTTACAGACTATGCTGAGGCTAAGAATTAGTCCGAAAGCAAAACATGGTAAAGGAAATAACATAAAAGAGACAAAAAGGTAAATGCCAAACACCAACTTGAATATTACAAAATGGCTATGGTAAGGAGTGAAAATATTCAAACATTGTTTTTCGTCTGTATCCTAATGTCGAAAGTGGATTTCGGTATTAATTAATATACATTCATATGTTGCTACAAGTCGTAGTTTTATCAAACAAACTCTGTAAAGGAAGAATAAAAATTACTATGCATACAAATAATGAAACTGATCTGAAAGAGAATCTTTCAAAACGTTCTGGATAAATAAAAAACAAACACATTTCAAGTTCAAAACTTTCTTATTTGTTGCTATGATATGTTGCTAATTGTCCCAAAGTTATTAACGCGAAAGGAACCAAAAGGAATGTAGCCTTTTCCAACTTGACTTTAATAAAACATTTTGCAGAGGTTACAGGGACAAACTTACAACACGTTTCCGAGGATGCAGGTTCATGAAGACTTGGTTTTATGGCCGCTATCAGTTTGCCCTTGTTTTATCTATTTGAAGTTCGAATGTGTTATAGAGGTTACAGGATATCTAAATGTAAATCATTGTAAAGTAATTGCACACCTACCCATTCAAACCAAAATATAGTTTTTAACCTTCGTTTTTGACAGATACAACCGCCATACGATGCTTGAGTTGTGATGACGTCATACAACCACGTCACTGTTCTGGCATCGAACATTGCCCCGAAGGAGATGTGAGCAGATTTTGTTCTATATTTATTTTTGAGACAGAAACATTATATTCCATGCCCTTTAGTAACTGGAAATATGATTGAAATGTCTTTATGTTATAAATAAAACCAATACATTTACAAGTCATGTCTCTATTAATGCGAGTAACAGCATCTTGAAATTGGAAACATTCTTGTAGTGTTTGCTAACAATGTATTTACGACGTGTTTGTTGATTTTGTCTGAATGTACGTCTTAAAAAGGCAGGGCTTTAAGACGACAAATTACGTACAACTGACGAGTACGTAAGAAATGTAAAAGTATGTACTCGGTGAAATTTGCTGTCCGGTCCGTTTCTCCACTTGGAGATTAATGGAAAAATCTTTTACATTGACAGGTAATTCATTCCGAACCTATTTAACGGCGTTCACTCGCTAAATTGGACGCAACAGATTGTAATAAATAAATAATACACAACATGTATATAGCCACCCATTTAAGTTGTAATATTTCTCTAATGCGCTTTACAACACATGGAAAAAATATTTCTACAGAATAAAGCTACACTTGTATTGACATAGTAGATGAAAAAGGGCATACAAATCAGCATTATACATTAAGTACAATACAATTATCTCAAAATGCAAGATTAATTGCTGTCTTGTATATTTCTCCAATTTAAGAATACTGAAAACTCCCGATTCTTATACACTGACGAGTAGTTAATTTAGAGGCCAATTTCTAGTGTACTCATTGAATTGGAAGATCAGAACCAGATATTTTGCGGTCTTATCAGTGTTTCAATTTTGAGAGCACCGAAGAAAGATACCTTAAATTAGAAGTACGAAATATCATTGTTTTAATTCGAAGAACATATAAATGGACAAGAGACGTTTTAAAATTTTAAGGAAATTTGTTTTGCGCCCAGGCATGTGTGACTGAGTCTTACCGAAACAAGAACGGGGGAACGTTGTTTAACGTTGGTTGCTTGTCTGCACAGGTAAATATATCAATGTTATTCATTTTACAATTTAAGATAAACAACTAATCATTTATATTATTTTACACAGTAAAATTGCATTGAATTTACTACTTAACTTTTTGGTTTGGTTTGGTTTTATTTTGTTTAACGTCCTATTAACAGCTCAGGTCATTTAAGGGCGGCCTCCCCTGTGTGCAAGATGCGGTGTGTAGTTTATGTGTGTGTATTTTGGGAGGCTGCGATATGTTCATGTTTGTCTCCTTGTGATAGCGCGGAATAACATTTTTGTGATTAATTTTTTTAATTGGAAGTTGGTAGAGAATAGCTAACGAAGTTATATATTCAAACCCATTAGATTAAAACATGACAATGCGTTTCGGGAAATTCAGGATTGTTTCTTTTTCAAAAGCACTGAGTATGTACACGTGTTTGTCAGATGTGCTCTTTAATTATGGTCCGTTTCGGCATACAGTGCATATCGCCAGTTAAGCTATGAGTTGTTGAACGTCCTAATTATAGCTATGTACGTTTAAGGACGTGCCTCATTGTGTATGCGTGCATGTGTGTCTGCATATTTGCGAATCTGATGCCGACTTCATAGTGCTATCTCACTGAAATACCATGCCGAAGGCACCCAGAACAGCATTCCGCCCGGTAACATTATACTGACAACGAGTGAATGATGTCTTAGTAACAAAATATAATACACAGGTCCAGAAAGATATGTTACTCTATAACAACTTTACCCAGAGTGTTACATCTTGTTACTTTCCGATCCTGTCCTGTCCTGTGGGCGGTTTAGTGCGTTGTTTTGTGTCAATATATGCTGTTTTCCTACGAGTCTTTTCTGCCTAATTCTGCACTAGTTTAAATATTTTGATTTCAAATAAAAGAAACGGTCAGTATCTGTTATCTATTTACATATCTAACGTACTGTTTCTAGAGACCATTTTTCTTTTCCACAATGCCAAAAAAACTGTGTGTGAAAAATAAGGACACATTCCATGCCGTGTACATTTTCTTTAATTGCCAACTATAAAATCTGTTCAATAACGACATTAGCCAACTTTTCGAATATATTGGGGGTTTTTTTCATACAAAAACACAAGTGACATTTACCTAATATACAGGTTTAATCTAATTTAAATAAATATCACGTTTTCTTAAATAAACAGAACAACACTATTCGAACATTAGTCGGTGTTATTCGTCATTATGATTACCGAGTTAAACTAACAATGAGCGTTCCAAAAATGTTAATTTAATATACTTATATTTTTCGTTTGCATAGCTTTAGATCAATGCAGCGACCTATATAAACTATGTTTATCCCGAGAACAACAGAATCCTCGAATATTCAGTGGCTATTTTTTTTAATTTTATTTTTCATTGGTCGTCACGTGCTCGAATATTGTAAACGATAAGATATCTTTTATCATTGCAATGAATATAACATTTACGCCATGTATGAAAACCTCAGATATTTGAGTAAAGTGAAAAAAGTGACGAAGTTATTTTGTTAAAAGCTTTTGGAATATCAACATCCAAGCAATTGCAGAAAGTTGCTCAGCTAGCTGCATATTTCAACAAAACATAGCATGACACTGAATCATTTCAATTTAAATAAAGCCCGTGATGATCTTTCTTTCCACATAGAGAAAATCACTGTAGTACCTCTGAGTCTGAAGAAGAAGATTTTTGAAATATTGGTTAATTTTCCCTTTGGGGCCCCGCCCTGGCCCCAGGGGTCGGGGTAGGAATCTCAATTTTACAATTTGAAACCATCTACCTCCAAGGATAATTCTCACCAAGTAAAAATAATTTCCTACCGAAAGTTGTCAAAATATACCCAAAAGTGTTATTTCCCTATATAAACTATAGTAAACTTTACCCCCTCCCCAAGGGAGAACGGATAGCTCGGGGGTCCTGAAATTTACAATTTAAGTAAAGCCCCTGATGATCTTTCTTTCCACGTAGAGAAAATCACTGTAGTACCTCTGAGTCTGGAGAAGAAGATTTTTGAAATATTGATTAATTTTCCCTTTGGGGCCCCGCCCTGGCCCCAGGGGTCGGGGTAGGAATCTCAATTTTACAATTTGAAACCATCTACCTCAAAGGATAATTCTCACCAAGTAAAAATAATTTTTCACCGAAAGTTGTTGGGTTGGGGTAGGAATCCCAATTTTACAATTTTGAAGCCTCATCTACCAAGTATGATTCTGACTAAGTTTGAAAAAAATCCCATCCACTGGTTCTTGAGAAGAAGTTGAAAATGTAAAAGTTTACGCACGACGCACGACGGACGGCGACGGACGAAAAGCGATTAGAATAGGTCACTTGAGCAAAGCTCAGGTGACCTAAAAAGCAGTTTATAGAAGGTTAAATTTTTGTCGAGTTACGGATTAGTCCTAATCGGTTATTGCATTGATTTATATTTCTTGTTGAGTAATGCTACGATATCGTTTCTTCCACTCTTCCAATGCATGCACCGTGTTATTTTGATCATCCACAGTTGATTCCAAAAATGTTCGCTGTTCACCTTCCGTTCTTTTCCTATTTAAAACGCGCAATATGGGCTTAAAACATTTTAAATGTCCGTATTAGAGATAAGTTTTTGGAGAAGAAACTAAACGATGTCTTTTTTCTGTCCCCTGGCCGAGACATACCAAAGTCTTTAAAAATGGTAGTTTATACTCCTGCTTAACGCTCAGCAAATTAGGAGTGGGACGACTGGTTCGCCTGTTGTCAGTATAATGTGACCGGGTGGGGCGTCCTGCTGGGTGTCTTCGGCAGAATGTTTCAGTGAGGTAGCACTATAAAGTCGGCATCAGTTTCGCGCTATCACAAGGAGACAAACACGAACATATCTCAGCCTCCCAAAATACACACACATACACTACACGCCTGCATCTTGCACCCAGGGGAGGCCGTCCTTAAATGACCTTAGCTGTTAATAGGACGTTAAACAAAATCAAACAAACAAACAAACTAACGTCTGCATGCAAGATGTAGAACGGTGTCGTTGTTATCATCCTTGGTAATCAAAATTGCTATAATATTCCACCATGGACAATACGACTGCCCGAGGTAAATTCAGAGTGACACAATTATGTCAAATTTCGCACTCTCCCGGTTCAATACAAGAGCGCTTTTTCCGAGTTTATCTCGGGATTTCCTTCACATAAACTTTTATATTCGGACGGCTCTAAATTCGAAGAAAAAGCAATAATTTGTTCTGACTCTTTGTCACTATTACAAAGCATTATTGTTTTGCCATCTGATCTTGATTTGGATACCAGGTCATGTCGGAATAAACGGAAAACGAGAAGGTAGATAAAGCTGCTAAAGCAGCCCTTTACCTACAACCTTTTTCTGATTTTAAACCTTCTATAACAAATTTTATTAAAACGAATTTGCAAAATAAATGGTTTGAAGAATTTAACAGCAAGTTATTTGTAATTCAACATTTTGTGAATGTGCAACAAGTAGAGCAGACCGCTGAGAGGAAGCGACTGCGCATATGCCATACATACCTACATCACACATGGCTACATTTTGGGAAAGGAAGACCAGCCTTATTGTCATGCATGCGATCAACCATTTATAGTCAAATACTTAATGCGCTGATTTCAAACAAATACGTGACAGAGTTTATGATGTACCGTCTATGAAAAGGTTATTCGATAGTTTCCGTGAAATTGATATTTGTCTTTTTACACTCAATTGATCTTGACAATAAGATATGATATATTGTGCAGCCAATTTGTTCGATTTTGATGTATTTCTTTAATCCTATACATATTTTAACCTATTTAGTTTTGGTTTGGTGTGTTTATTGTCGTCAATGCGACCGATTTTTACAGTGTCGTTGACCCTAAATGACTCGCATTGTCGATAAGCTGTTCATCAATACAAGAACAAAAACAAAACAAAGACCTGTTTTCATATGCTGCATTATGTACTGGCAGTCTTCCGCGAAATCCCTTCAAGCCAATGAGTGATTGGTTTTTAGGAAGTCGATTTCAGCAACGTCCTTCCTTCATGATTGGCATACTATATGTATAACAGTGTCGTCATCATCGTCTCGTGTCTTTTCTAAATAAACAAGCTGCTCAACAAATATTTGTTTTTAAATACAGTATCCAGAACATATTGAAAGCATTCAAAGGATCTCATGCCGTCTGCACCATCGTGTATTGGTTGTCTCCCCATCAATCCTTTTGCATCAAGGATCCAAAGTTGGATAAAATTCCTGTAATGGTACAAAATAAGAAGGATTTTAAAAGTTTTAACCTCGAATTCCCTTATTGGGCCCCGCCCGTCAGTACTCAAGGGGCCACACCCTCCGTTTATTGAGTCCCCTTTGCCCAAGGTGCTCCAGGCCAAATTTGGATAAAATCCCTCCAATGGCACTGACGAAGAAGGATTTTAATGGTTTTAACCTCAACTTTCCCTTTTGGGCCCCGCCATTTGAGGGACCACACCCTCCGTTTATACCAAATTGAGTCGCCGCTGACCAAGAATGCTGCAGACAAAATTTGAATACACAAAATTCCTCCAATAGTACAGAAAAAGAAATATTTTAAAGATTAAACTTCAAAATTGGACCCCGCCCCTCAGCACCCAGAGGGGCCAAACCTTCCGTTTAAGGAAACTCCAGGCCAAATTTGGATAAGATCCCTCCAATGGTACAGAAGAAGACGGATTCTAACGGATTTTACTTCGAATTCGCCTATTGGGGCCCGTCCCTCAGCACCCAGAGGGGCCACACCCTCCGTTTATACAAAATTGAGTCGCCTTTGCCAAAGGATGTTCCAGGCAAAATTTGTAATCTAGATCAAATCCGAATAATGTCATATCCTCTCATTGAGACTCGGTTGGTGAAGAAACCACAAAGAACACTTATGAGCATGCCCCATGACACAAAAGCGACCAAAATAAATCTGCTGCCCCCACTACAATATTTGGGATATTCATCTTTCTTTTTACCTCTGACTACCTTTTGTTTCCTAGTGCCTCGCTTGGTAACACCTCAATTTTGGCTGGAGTGTTGCGCGTTCGCCCAGGTGAGGAAGGCAATGGGTTCTGTTCCCAGTCCGGGACATACCAAAGTCCTTAAAAATGGTAGTTGTTATTCCCCACCTAACGTTCAGCATTAAGGGGAATGTCAACAACTGGTTTACCCATTGTCAGTATAATGTGACCGGGTGAAATGATGCGTAATGCTGTGCTTGGTGCCTTTGGCATGGTATTTCAGTGAGATAGCACTATAAAGTCGGCATCAGATCCGCGCTATCACAAGGAGGCAAGCACATCAACATACTCTATCTCCTGCATACACACACGCAAGCACACATACACTACACACATGGAAGCACGTCCTTAATTTACATTCGCAGTTAATAGGACGTTAAACAAAATTAAACCAAACCGACCATATCACACACAGAAATGGCTTCCATCGCGACGATAACATTTGTTTACAGTTTCATCAACCGGCATCTTTGGAAATCCTGTGTTTTAACTTTGTCCGTCAGCAGTCGCGGATGTTTTTTAAATTTTAAAACATGCTTAACGACAGATCATGATAACTCTTTAATACGGAATAATCTCCGACGAGTAAACAGAGGGGAGGCTGGGGTGTCAAGAAAGAGAAAAATCACGATCGGAAAGTCGGAATTTATAATCAACCCGATTTTATCACGAATTTACGGATATTCAAAATGAAAAGAGTATCAGTTGATAATATTTGTGAATACAGTTACACTGTGTTAAAACGTATTTAGAGTTAAACCATTAAACATTATATTACTTTAAAAACTTGCATTATCGCAGTCCACCTTAAGCGATAGAGGGACGCTCCTTTTTCTTAACATTATTTTATCCGAGGTTGAATGCTGTTCGACTAGTTGCTCTATGAATTTTTATATCTTAAAAAAATCCTTTAATACAAATTAAGCTTACAATTAGCTTATGTCTAACGTTTGACCATGTACTATCTAATTTATTAAAGTCCACAACTCACTAGTAAATTATTGTCTGATGTATCAATATCATTTTATTTTTTATTTTACTGTGCACTTGTTAGAGTAAACATAATGCACAACGAAGTTATCATGAAGATGTTGCTACCTAAATACTAAGCTTCGTAGTTCAACGAATATATGGCAATCTTGCAAGTTTACAACTTCGAGAGACAATTACAAAAAAAAATAGCTTATCTTATCAGATAAACTTTCCAACTCTTTAGGGAAGGTTTAGAGAGCCTCAGGACATTTTCGTTGTCGTGTTCTGAATGACATCATGGACTATACTTCATCAGGTACCTACACATTTCTCGTTGCTTTTCTGGTCTTCCTCCTGAGCCTACAATGTAAGTAGCGCAACTATTAATTTGTTTCTGGATTTCCATTATTAATTTTTGTTATTGTTTTTCTAATCTAATTCGTTGTAAAGGATTTGCACCCATTGAAACCAAAATATAATTTTTAACCTTCGTTTTTGACAGTTACAACCGCCATACGATGCTTGAGTTGTAATGACGTCATACAACCACGTCACTGTTCTGGCATCGAACATTGCCCCGAAGGAGATGTGAGCAGATTTTGTTATATATTTATTTTCGAGACAGATTCATTATATTCCATTCCCTTTAGTAGCTGGAAATATAATTGAAATTAATTGGACGCAACAGATTGTAATATTTCTCTTAGGCGCTTTACAACACATAGAAAAAATATTTCTACAGAATAAAGCTACACTTGTAAAGATATAGTAGATAGAAGGGCATACAAATCAGCATTATACATTAAGTACAATACAATTGTCTGAAATTGCAAGATTTATTGCTGTCTTGTGTATTTCTCCAATTTAAGAATACTGAAAAACCCCGATTCTTATACACTGATGAGTAGTTTATTAAGAGGCCATTCTGTAGTGTACTCATTGAATTGGAAGATCCTAATACTTTGCGGGTCTTGTCAGTGTTCCAATTTTGAGAGCAATGCAGAAAGATACCTTATAATATAAGAACGAAATATCATTGTTTAAATCCTAAGAACATAGAAATGGACAAGAAATGTTTTAAGGAAATGTGTTTTATGTCCAGGCATGTGTGACTGAGTCTTACCGAAACAAGAACGGGGAAACTTTGTTTAACGTTGGTTGCATGTCTGCACTGGTAACTATACTAATGTTTTATTTTTATTTTTACACTTTAAGATAAGCAACTGATCATTTCTATTATTTTACACTGTAAAGTTGTATTGAATTTACTACTTAACTAATATAGTTTGTAAACGTCGAAGATAATGCTTAAGGTATAGTTTGAAATGGGCACTTTGTTCTAATCTGTGAAAGTTCTTCGCTTCGCTTTCTACCACTGAAGCTGTATATGAACTGAAAGTTAACTTCCTATCATCACGTTTGTGTTTTATAAATATGAAATCCTATTGTCGTACATGTACCTTGTTCGGAGTAAATCATACCAGTTTGCAATTCGTACATCTTCAAACTCTAATTTAAATCATTTTCAACTTTCTCAATTATTATCCAAGAGGTGCTCGCTGAATGCTATTCATAATAGCTCCGCTATCATCCTTCGGACAGACATAATTGGAACACACCAGCGTGATGTATGTACAGAATGCTGTCACAGTGACCTGTGTAACGCCGCCGGCTGTGGTATGAACGGTAGGTCTCACTATGGTACACATTGGTAGATCACTTAGATCTTTGGTTTTCCTTTGTTTACTCAGCTAAGTATCCTATTAAATGCTGCATCCATGCGTTGTATTGTCGGTGGGACATACCCTGGCTTGACCAGGAACCGAACTGTTGTTCAACGTTGTAGGGAAGGTGGCTCATACTTTGGCCAGCAGACAATCCGGTGGTACAAAATGATATATGGACAGTAGCGCAAACTAAAGTTCCGAGGTAATGTTAGATAGCGGACATACTGTGTTATGACGAGTAGATCATACTCTTCAATTGATAATTGATAATTTATAATTAAGTGCGGAAGATAATCAACGTTGCTGCATATTTAAAACCATATATTAAAGTTCCGCTCCTGCGAATACAAGGGCACTTCAAGCTTTCCTTTTTACCTGGTCTTTCCTTCTTGGGATATTTCTTCGGCTATCTCTGGCTGTCTGATAATGTTTCGATTGTGATGTTATGCTACTGTGACCATATCACAATATTGAATAATTTTGGAGGCACTATTTTCAGTTGATACCGCCTTCACAAACATGACATTAGCTAAATGTAACGTAGCCAATAACATCGCTAATTATAAGCCGTAATCGTCGAAATTCCGTTTGGATTTGGCGGTAAATTGAGTATTTCTCCTATATCAGTGTATTCTTTCGGCAAAACACGTCTTACATGTCGGCGGCCATGTTTATTTAGCTAAACTTCGTTAACCGGAAGTGACGTTTGGTAGAGAGTACGGGAAAGTTAAAGATACTTCGTGTGTGATTTTAACAAGTAAAGCAAGGGTATAAAAGGCCGGGTTTTCTCTGCGTGTGAGCCATAGTTAAACCTTTTTGTTGCCAATAAGTAGACAAGAAAGAATATGGATTCTTCTAGTCATTTGGTGAGGTTTGGTGACAAATTAATGGATCTTTGGATGTGGAGCATTTAATGGGCATTATTTCAACTAAGAATCCAAGCAAACAAAGTTCAAGATTCGGAATAAGTCTCTTATTTCGAAACAAGTTCAAATTATTAAGATTCTTATTCTAAATACAGATGCATAAGTGGACCTGCACGTTTGTGAATAACGAGTGTATGGAAAGTTATATATATGTGTACAAACCCTTTGTGCTATTTGCTACTTTATTAAAATTTGGAAGTTTATTTTATCTTATGGTATCAGCAAAGGACGACCTCGTTTAATAAGAAAATATTTTTGCGTAGAAACAAAAGGTCAAACACAGAACCCAAAGCCTTCCTCACAGGGGCGAACGCTCAACTAAAGGCCAAAAGTGAGGCATTCTCAAGGGAGACATTAGGAAGAAGAAAGTTGTTTAGAAAGAGAAGAGAAGAGATAAAGATCCCAAGTTTAGTCGCCTCTTAAGATCATGCAATGGGGCAGCAGGTACCATTCTTACGCCCTACCTGCAGGGACACGAACGAGCGTAACAATAACTTTCATTGTCTATCTTTATTAATTTTCTTTTCTCGTCCATTTAAATTTAGGATTTCCGCAACAAAGAGGACCAGTCTGTCTCAATTGTCCACAATCACGTGACCCTGCTGACTGTGACGTCATTAGTGTGTGTCTTCGGGGTGAGGTAAGATATAATATTTCTGTGAATTCGTTTCGGTAAGTAATAAATCAAGTTGAAGTCTTAGAAATGAGAGCCATTGGTCACTTAAATTGTTGATTTCGAAGTAACAAACATATGAGAATTATACACACTATTTTGAAAAAGGTTTATTTCTCTTTAACGTCTTATTAACAGCCAATGTCATTTAAGGACGTGCTTCCATGAGTGTTGTGTATTCTACCAAGTGTATATGTGTGCTGGAGGCAGGATGTGTTTGTGTAATTGCCCCCTTGTGATAGTGCGGATCTGATGCCGACTTTAAAGTGCCATCTCACTGAAATACTATGCCGAAGTCACATTATACTGACAACGGGTTATTTTGAATACAAAACTGAAAGCAATTGTTGATCACATAACGAACTTTTCACAAAAACACACCAGACGGCATACTTTCCCAAATCCAACATATTGTGTTGGTTTATACAAGGGTACACTTTTGTTTAAACAGCTTGCTCCCTAAGTTGCAGTTTCACACCGCTATCTTTTATCTTTAGATTTGTCATGTTGAAGAAATATTCGAGTTCGGCGATGTATTCTACAAAACCAGCTGTGTACGGAATACTGTAAGTACTGTGCTTATTTCACAACATACTTCCTTTTATAGATTATATATTGGGTTTGATTTACAGAACAGTAATATAACCTTATCGTGGTTTGTTTTTTATAGGTAGCGGGTTGAGAATAGCTATACACTTAATGCAGTAACACCTTTAGATTCAGTCGGGAAGATGCGTTTCTCGAAAATCAGCATTTCTACTTTTTCAAAAGCACTGATTATGTACACGTTTGTAATTTGCGCTCTTCAAATATATATTCGTATTCGTAAGACATATATCCGTTCGGCAATATGTATCGCCGGTTTGGTTTTAATTTGTTAAACCGTCCTTTTAACAGCTAAGGTCATATAGGGACGTGCCTCCATGTGTATTGTGTATGCGTGCATGTCTGTTTGTGTGCCGGATGCAGGTTTTGTTGGTGTTTTTGCCTCTCTAAATTGTGATTGCGCGGATCTGATGCCGACTTTTTAGTGCTATCTAAGTGAAATACAATGGTGGCGAAGGCACCCAGCACAGCATTCCGCCCAGTCACATTATAATGACAACGAGTGAATGTTTTGGTAGCAAAATGTAATACACAGGTCCTTGAAGATATGCTACAGAGTGTTGTTACATCTTGTTCCTATCTGATCCTGTCCCGTCCTGTGGGCGGATTGGTGCATTGTCAAGATGTGCTGTATTCCTAAGAGTCTTTTCTACCTCGATCATAGTTTTGTTCAGTGATGGTTGTGTTCGCTCGGTACTATATTGTGCTTTATCACTAACTGACATTAAAGTTATTTGCGTTCAAATAAAAGAAACGGTCAGTATCTGTTCACATATCTAATGTACTGTTTATAAAGACAAATCCTTTCCTTCATAATGAACAAGATTTGTTTGACAAAATTAAGAAGGACAAATTCCATTCCGTGTACATTTCCTTAATGCCAACTTCGCGCCAGGTGAACTAAAAACTGTAATGTTCCATATTTTATATTCACTTTGACATTTGAATTACATCAGATGAATTGCACAGTTTGAGGAAGTGTTGCTTTGGTTACCAAAGATTTAAAGTTATATCACAGTTAAACTATTTTTTTAGGATACCCAATGCAATTCTCATCTTATATATAACCCGGTGGAGATCGGTAGAAGATCTACAAGACGAGACAACTGCTTCTTTTGCTGCATGGATGACCTTTGTAACACCAAATGTAAAATAAGCAAAACCTTCTCGTGTAGATATCACTGTATACCGGGAAATTTCGCCCAGTCAAACTTCGTTAAGTTTGCCTTTCATAATTAAGTACTATGTATATGATGTTGTTAACAACTGTTTTGCTGTAATGATACATTCGCCCTCATGATAAAAGAGGACGAAAATTAAACTGCAGCGAAAATTTCCCGGTATACAGTATATTGTCATAAAAGACAAGTGCAAAAAAAGTAAAAAAGTAAAAGTAAAACAAGTTTAGAAATATGAATTATGCCTTATAGATTATTCTAATTGAGAGTTAAAAGATTTTGCTTCGGTGAGCTTGATGAAATTCATTTGTTCACTTCCTATTCTAAGGAAATCTATCCATTTGATAATACTGATTGAACATTACAAACACAGATAATTGTGAAGAACAGCAAACGGGAATGGAAGCTTCAGCATCTTAAGCGTGCACACTCTATTCCTACTGTATCTCCTTCGAAACATTTTACTTTTTTCTATATATGAAATAATATATTACTTATTTATTATAATTATAATCGATAAAGGCTATCTTCTGTCTTTCTATATTTTACCAGGTCATCCTTCAACATCGCCTGTGCTGACAACAGAGCCATCGACAACACATATGCCAATATATCAACGTAAACACCTAATACTTACATTTATTAGTTTTCAGGAATGATGTTGGTTTTAAATAGAGTTAATATGATTTGTATACCTGAACGAACGAAGAGATTTTGTGATATCAAATTAAAAATGACATGCCTAAACAAGTTCCTATAATGATTGTAACTTAAATATATGATCAACTCATTAAGTGTCAAAAACTTGTTGTGGCCGGGACATGCCTTGGTTTCGTTTTTGTTTTATTAACTCAACTAGCCCCAAGGGCGTCCGGCGTCAATTTGTTTACTTTAAACAACTTCTTCTGAATAACGAAGAGGCCTAGGGTGATGGTATTTGGCCAGTAGCATATTGGGATGAAGGACTACCAAGTTTGTTCAAATGAATGACCTTCGCCCGTTTTCAAGGTCACATGGGTCAGATATGTTAAAATCTTTAAAAGACTTCTCCTGGATAACAACAAGGCCCAGCATCTTAATATTTGTCCATTAACACGCCTGGAAAAGCTATCATTTTTTCTGTCACCTGAGACAAAGAATCAAGTGACCTATTTAGTCGCCTGTTGTCCGTCGTCGACCGTCGTGCGTTGTGCACATTTTCGACTTCTTTTCAGAAACTGCTGATCCGATGTCAAATTGGCTTAAAATTTAAAAATCTTCTTCTCCAGACCAAGATATGCTGGAAACCAAAACTCTTCATAGATGAAAGGGTCTTGGGGTGCTTTATCAAAATTTTGAATTTCATGACCCCCAGACTCCATGGGGAGGAGGCGAGGTTAACTATAGTTTATATAGGAAAATTATACTTTTGGGTAATTTGAATTTCATAACCCTCGGCCTTCACGTTTGCTCCTGGGGAGGTGGTGCAATTAACTATATTTTATATAGGAAAATGCAACGTCTGGGTATATTTTGTTCATTTTCTACTGGAAATTATTCAAACTTGATTGACATTATAACCATTAGATGACAGTACATTTTAATCCTGTCTCATCTACAGGGGCTCAGGGGCGGAGCCCAAATGGGGTCATATAGCAAGAGATATCAACAGTAATCTTCTCCAAGACTGAGATAGGCTGGAAACCAATACTCGTCATAGATGAAAGGGTCTTGAATTGGGGTGCTTTATCAAAATTTTGAATTTCATGACCCCAAGACTCCATGGGGAGGGGGCGAGGTTAACTATAATTGATATAGGAAAATGATACTTTTGGGTATGTTTGGTTCATTTTCAATTGGAAATTATTCAAACTTGTTTGGGCCCGGGCCCGGGCCCGCCCCCAAAAGGGCTAGGCTAAAAGTGGTCAAATTGGCTTAACTTTTAAAAATCTTCTTCTCTAGACCCAGATATGTTGGAAACCAATACTCTTTATAGGTGGAAGGGCCTTGAGGTACTTTATCAAAATTATGAATTAGATGACCCTCGATCTTAACGCTTGCCCCTTTGTGAGGGGTTGACATTTAGTACAGTTAATATAGGAAAATGCAACTTTTGGGTATATTTTGTTCATTTTCTACTGGAAATCATTCAAACTTAATTTTGCATTACATGTAGTTCAAGTTACCTTTGTTACAAAATGACTTCTTTTTCATCAATAACATCAGTTTTACATAACTCAGGTGACCGTCAAGGCCCATGGGCCTCTCGTTTCATTTGAGTTACCTTGACCCACTTTCAAGGTCACATTTTGTCAAATGTGTATAACCTTTAAATGACCTAATCTCAATAAACAAAAGGTCTAGGGTTATGATATTTGGCAGGTAGCATGCCTGAATGAAGGGCTAAAATGTACCAAGTTTGTTCAAATGAATGAACAAAGCTTTTATTCCAGGTCACAGTAGTCAAATATGTTGAAAATCTTCAAATGACTTCTTCTGAATAACCGTATGGCATTGTTCGACTTTCAAAGTCACTTGGGTCAAATGTGTTTAAATCTTTAGATAGGTTCTTTTGAATGACTTATAGTCATACATACTGATATTTTGTCTGTAACTTTATTTTTGCCTACTTTAAAGGGTACACGTGTGATATTAATAACAGGTGAGCGATGCAGGCCCATTGGGCCTCTTGTTCTGTTAGACGACCTATTAACAACTAAGGTTTACCTCTAATTGTGTAATATATGTGTTATTGTGTGATGGAGGCAAAGTCGGCTTTGAGAGTAACGGGTTTTTTTTCCAGTAGAATTCAAACTTTGAAAGATAGCTTTGCTTTCTGTTATATCTCCAGGCAATGTTACAACATCGCATGCACCATCTACTATATCATCTACGACACAGGCGCCAATACATCACGGTAAATACACACTAACTTACTTCTATCATTCTGCGCAGCATATAACATATGACAGCATCGTATTTTACAACATTGTTTACACTCTGACTTCTTTCTGAACTTTCGTCTCGGGGGGAAAAAGGTTAAAATGTTATATTGATCTAAAACATGAAATATTGATCGAAGAATGAATTCAATAATAAAAGATATATATAAATGAAATGAGGTTAGTCGTCAGAATATATCAGATAACTGTACGAATTCTTCATAGTGTGTGCGACATTTTTTGTTGTGTATCCTTGTAGTTTATGTTTTTGGAGTAGCTATGTAAGTGTATAGTACGGTGTTTGATAGTGGTGGTGGTGGCAGCGTATGTGTGCGTTGGATTTTGAAGTTAGGTGTGGGCGAACGTGTCTGCGGGAGATTTATATATGTATTTAGGTTGGAATAGGTAGATGTCTGTGCAGAGTTTGTTATTCCGTATGTGTGTGCAGGATGTGTATTTACGTGTTGAATAATTAGGTGTGTGGATGTAGGTGTCTGTGTACTGTGTATATTTGGGGATGAGTGTGATGAGAAACATGAAATCAGAAAGAAAGATTGAAAAATGTATCGACCGCCTTATATATCATCATAGGATAGAAATAAATAAATAATATTGATGGTTTGTTTTGCAGATTTCAAAGGAAAGGAGTTTTTCTTGATGTTTATCGAAAATACGTTGTATGACTACTCTGTAATAAAACTAAAAGCATTTGTAACATCAACTGCAACAAATGCTAATATCCAGGTTATCACACAATATAATTCAACATCATATCATGTCTCTGGCCTAGCCAAACATATTGCCATTGATGCAAACATGACAATGAGAGAAAATGGGAGGGCGAGCAAAGGGGTCATTCTAACATCTGACTCACCAGTGTCCGTCACTGCGTTCAACCTATATTTCTCATCAGCCTCGGGTGGATACCTTGCTTTACCAGTAGAAAGTCTTGGTGTCAATTATATCGTTGGAACAGCCAGACCAAATTATGCGCTCTTTGAGACGTATGGAACTTCGTTTGCTGTAGGAGCGCCGTACGACAATACAGTGGTCAATATTACACTCAGTACTTCTGGTATTTCTGTTCCCGGTCAGTTTCACAGGGAGGGAGACAAAATCACCGTCGTTCTGGATAAACTGGACACGTTCTATATTGAAACAAACACATTAAATCAAGACCTGACAGGTACGCATATTTTAAGTGATAAGCCTGTAGTGGTAGTGTCTGGTAATCTTTGTTCATACGGATACGGAGGTTGTAATCATCTTGTGGAGTACCTACCTCCTGTGTCAAAGTGGGGTACCAGGTTTATGGTACCACCTATTACTAGAAGCATCAGTTGTATCATCAGGATAATCTCATCCGTAAGCAATACGAATGTCGTTGTCATCTCTGATACCTCGAACAAAACTTACTCAGTATCTACCCACGTAGATATAAACACGAACTCGACTCAACCTTACGCCATTTCTAGTGATCACCCTGTGCTCGTGCTACTATCAATTTATGAGAGAACAGTTGAAATGACATTGGTGCCATCAATTAACCAGTTCTCCAATGAACCCGTGCTGGTCTCGACTCCTACATCCTTTGTGTACGATAACTACATTGTGGTCAGTATCCAGACCATTAACCAGTCCGGTCTACAGCTCCGCACCGTTTACGGGACGGACTTGTCCAATGTTGGATCAGTGAGTTTTCCTGATGCTGACGGTGAAATGTATAGCTTCATTACGGTATCCTGTAACAATAAGTGTTCTGTCCAACACAACGACACCGACGTGGCGTTTAGTGTTATTGTGTACGGGTTTGAAATTAATGCAGTATATGCATATCCTGCAAATCTCGCGTAATAACTTTATTTGATAAAATTAAACAGCTTCCAGAAAATATCTGCTTGTCGAATGCTCTTTTGATCAATGGAAATAGGTCACAGACGTTCATGTGTCGAGGGGCCAGTAAGCCTGAACAAGAGAAACAGAGAATATAATACATGCAAGTAACATTGTTGAATAACAAATATGCGTTCATAAAAATAAAATATAAAAAGTATTTTTTCTTCAAAATGAAACTTTAAATACTAAACAACCCGAAGCAGTTAAAATGATTCAGGCTGGTGTTGCCCAAACGGTTGCCGCCTGACACTTCAGTGTACAAAGGACATTTGGTTAAATTTTGTTGAACGTCCTATTAACGACTAATGTCATATAAGGACGTGCCTCCATGTGTGTAGTGTATGCGTGCTTGACTCCTTGTGATAGGCTTCGGCATGGTATTTCGGTGAGATAGCACTATAAAGTCGGCATCAGATCCGAAATACCATGCCGAAGGCACCCAGTACAGCATTCCGCCCGGCCACATTATACTGACAACGGTTGAACCAGACTTTGGTATGTCCCGGCCTGGGGACAGAGCCCATTGCCTTCCTCACCTGGGCAAACTCTCAACATTAAGACCATAAGTGAGTTGTTGCCTAGCAAGACGCTAGGAAATAAAAGGAAATTGGAAGTAGAAAAAAAGATATATTCCAAATATTGCAATGAGTGCAGCCGATTTATTTTGGTCCGCCCGGCCACATTATACTGACAACGGTTGAACCAGACTTTGGTATGTCCCGGCCTGGGGACAGAGCCCATTGCCTTCCTCACCTGGGCAAACTCTCAACATTAAGACCATAAGTGAGTTGTTGCCTAGCAAGACGCTAGGAAATAAAAGGAAATTGGAAGTAGAAAAAAAGATATATTCCAAATATTGCAATGAGTGCAGCCGATTTATTTTGGTCCGCCCGGCCACATTATACTGACAACGGTTGAACCAGACTTTGGTATGTCCCGGCCTGGGGACAGAGCCCATTGCCTTCCTCACCTGGGCAAACTCTCAACATTAAGACCATAAGTGAGTTGTTGCCTAGCAAGACGCTAGGAAATAAAAGGAAATTGGAAGTAGAAAAAAAGATATATTCCAAATATTGCAATGAGTGCAGCCGATTTATTTTGGTCGCCTTTGTGTCCCCAATTAGAGGACACCAAAGCAAATCCCCAATTCTGCAGGGGGTTGTTCATTAGTCGTCTTCTACCATACATGCAGCGGGTAACAGAAGGTGTATTCTTTTCCCAATCCCCCACCTGCAGGAGTGCAAAGGAAAACTATTAATGCCTAATGGAGATATTTTCAGTAGTATTAGCACTAAAATTGGCAATTTACATGGCGAAGAGGACTATGTGGCATTTGGATTTGGTTTGAAAAGAGAACAGTTTTGTCCATTAACAAATATGTGTCTACACAACAAAAGCCAGCAATGACATGGCATGGTTGTAGAACAGTGTACAATGTGCCGTAGCCACTTGATCTGAAATCTACTTAAAGTAGTTCACGTGGAATTGACCACTTCATCATATCCGAAAAAAATAACTGACAAGAAAAAAAATACTTCTAGTCTTTTTATAACAAGAAATGCAAAATACACGATTGATTACATAATGAATACAAATATCGAAAGAGTACCTTCTAGGTTGAAGGACACCAAAGAGCTTGTCCCACTGCATAACGTGCATCCGCCCCTATGGTCAGTCTATTTTCGGTTGGTGATGTTTAGTTTTCATTTGTTAAACGGCATATTAACAGCGAAGACCATTTATGTAGGTGGTGTATGTACATTGCCTGCCGGAGACAGGGTCTGTTGGTGTTTGTTTGTTTGTTTGTTTATGTTGAACGGCCCATCGACGGCTGTGGTCATTTAGGGCCATGGTGATTTATTTATTTATTTTACTTTTTTAACAAACATGTGAATAGCGAAGATAAAATCAGATAAAATGGTCTGTTGGTGTACTTAGTATTTTTTTTTAATACATACACGATCTCCTGGTGTGGTTCAATACGGAGAGAAATGTCATACAAGTGAAATACTGCTGAATGTTAATATTCTAAAATATGTAAAACTATGGATTTAGGTGTATTATTAAAGAAATATTTTTTTTCCTATATCGGTACCGCAATATTAAATATAATGTTTTTTATGTATAACTTTTAATAACATTTATGGCATACTGTAAAAAGAGAACCTTCTAGGTTGAAGGACATAAAAACCTGGTCCCACTACATGGTCGTAAGAGGCGCCTAACGTGCACCCGGTTTGTCTGTTTGGTTGGTTTGGGTTAGTTTTCATTTGTTTAACGTCATATTAACAGCTAAGGCCATTCAATGATGTGCCTCCATGTAGGTGGTAAATGGGTGTATGTATATTGTTTGGCGGAGACGGAGTATGTTGGTGTACTTAGGATTTTTATTTAAATACATACACGATCTACTGGTGTGGTTCAATACGGAGAGAAATGTCATATGAAATACTCCTGAATGTTAATATTTTAAAATATGTAAAACTATGGATTTAGGTGTATTTTATTATCAGTAACGCAACGTTAAATACAAGTACTAATTGTAATGGGAGACCATTACAGATGTCCCCAAAACTGCCCCCATAGTCGCAAAGATGCATCAGAAAAGGATCGCATTGCCATAGTACACCTACAATGTACATAATAAATTTCGGTGAAATTGAGCAATTCTAAATTGAAACCAATCAGAATCCTCTGTATGCAAATTCGAGCAATCGCTTCCCTTCTTTGACCAACCTTACCATATTTATCAGCAGTCAGCATTGATAGAAATCTAAATTTACAGTCATATCCCCATTCTGGTCTTATTCTATTTTCTAGCTCTGATGTGAAGCGAGTATCTTGTAGAAGGTATATATTATATTTTTCTCTCTCTAATGTATGCAAAGACATCCTTTCCTTTCTTAAAATCTCCAAGGCCCTGGCAATTAACAGAAGCAATTGTTAGATTTTCTGACATTAAAAGATTATTCTGTTATACTATATATTTATCTTGGTACTCTATTGTCATACATTTTAGGCTGTTATCAGGGTCACTGATTGTAGTAATACAAATACTTTGTCGGTAAAGAAATCTCTAGAAAAATAGAGAGATAGAGAACAGGTCAATGAGAAAGATGAAAATAGATAGAAGGAAATAGGGAGAGAGACAAATGTATTTTTCATGAGAGAAAAATAAAAGAATATAAACCAAAAAAAAATTTAACATGCCATTGATCAGTGTTATGTTGAACCTTTATCAGTATTGATTTGTTTGTTTGTTTGTTTGATTTTGTTTAACGTCCTATTAACAGCTAAGGTCATTTAAGGACGGCCTCCCCTGTGTGCAATATGCATGCGTGTAGTGTATGTGTGTGTATTTTGGGAGGCTGCGATATGTTCGTGTTTGTCTCCTTGTGATAGCGCGGAACTGATGCCGACTTTATAGTGCTACCTCACTGAGACATACTGCCGAAGACACCCAGCAGGACGCCCCACCCGGTCACATTATACTGACAACGGGCCAACCAGTCGTCCCACTCCTAATTTGCTGAGCGTTAAGCAGGAGTAGAAACATTGAAATCAAGTTTTCAATTATATCGTATTTACGCATAAATAAATAAGGGGGATAAGTAATACAGGAAAGTGACAAATGCTACAGTAATTCTGTCTTTCATTAAGGTCTGACCCTATCTTTATGTAATAAAGTTTAACTACAAAAATAGAAGTAAGGAGAAACAATAATACAGGTACTAAACTTCTCTCTATAATGTACAATAGCCTATAGGTGGGTGTACATGCTCTCTATAATGTACAATAGCCTGTAGGTACTAAACTGCTCTCAATAATGTACAATAGCCTGTAGGTACTAAACTGCTCTCTATAATGCACAATAAATAGCCTATAGGTGGGTGTTCATGCTCTCTATAATGTACAATAGCCTCTAGGTACTAAACTGCTCTCTATAATGTACAATAGCCTAAAGGTGGGTGTACATGCTCTCTATAATGTACAATAGTCTAAAGGTACTAAACTGCTCTCTATAATGTACAATAGCCTATAGGTACTAAACTGCTCTCTATAATGTACAATAAATAGCCTATAGGTGGGTGTTCATGCTCTCTATAATGTACAATAGCCTGTAGGTACTAAACTGCTCTCTATAATGTACAATAGCCTATAGGTGGGTGTACATGCTCTCTATAATGTACAATAGCCTGTAGTTACTAAACTGCTCTCTATAATTTGTTTGTTTGATTTTGTTTAACGTCCTATTAACAGCTAAGGTCATTTAAGGACGGCCTCCCCTGTGTGCAAGATGCATACGTGTAGTGTAATGTGTGTGTATTTTTGGAGGCTGCGATATGTTCGTGTTTGTCTCCTTATGATAGCGCGGAACTGATGCCGACTTTATAGTGCTACCTCACTGAAACATACTGCCGAAGACACCCAGCAGGACGCCCCACCCGGTCACATTATAATGACACCGGGCGAAACAGTCGTCCCACTTATAATTTGCAGGAGTAGAAACTACCATTTTTAAAGACTTTGGTATGTCTCGGCCAGGGGACAGAACCCAAAGCCTTCCTCACAGGGGCGAACGCTCAACAAATGGCCAAAAGTGAGGCATTGTCAACGGAGACATTAGGAAGAAGAAAGGAGAGAAGAGATAAGGTCCCCAATTTAGTCGCCTCTTACGATCATGCAATTGGGGGCAGCAGGTACAATTCTTTCATCACATTCCGTGGGATCCTGACACGTGTGCAGACTGTCTGTCCATGTCGGTGAATTGTGTATATCTAAACATGGATGCTAGTTTTTTTTTCATCCCTTGTATTTTTACCAAAAATGAAAATTCTGAAAATCAGGGGAGCGCAAAATTTCGTTATGTCAGTGACAGGCATGCAACAATATTTAGGCATGTGTGACCATCTTCAGCACCTTGAAATGCCCCACCCGGTCACATTATACATGTCGTC